ACACACACACACACACACACACACACACACACACACACACACACACATTAATTAACTGGGTATTTCATCCAGTGATGCATTCTGTCATGGAGACACTAGCTGCTTTGGTGCATTTTTATTTTCAGACTTTCTGATAAATGCAGAATGTCGTACAAGACGTGCTTGATTCTAACGCCATTAGCAGCGAATGTGTTTCCAGATATACGTTACAGATCATGAGACCCATGAGAGGAGGACTTCGGGATCATTAAGCACAGATTCCTTCATCACACACCTCCCTGTGCTCTTCTGTTCTCCCAGTCCATTTCCTCTCCTCTTGCCTTCTCTCTGCTTCATTCACTTCACACCTTCTCTCTCTCGCTCTCTCTCTCTCTCTCTCTCTCTCTCTCTCTCTCTCTCTCTCTCTCTCTCTCTCTCTCACTGACTCTCTCCCCCTTTTCTGCTTTCCTTTGGCTCTCAGTAAAAGGAAAGTGCCAGATGATTTACACCTCCCATCATTCTCACTGCCTTGCCTTCCCTCTCTAAAGCCTTTTGTGTCTTGTGAGGTATCGGAGCTGTGGGACACATCACAGGAGGACGGGTGGTAGGCATCTTTTATACATGGACAAAGAACCTCTCTGGGATTGTAGTGATGTACATGTTAACCATGCTTAATGGGTGGACAGATGTTTTATTACCCAGTAAGGGTGAAGAAAGAGAGATCACAGACAGATGAATACAGTAAACAAACACAAGCATAATCCCAAACAGGGATGCTGCTGATTATCTAACATTAGAGCTGCCAAGGGAGATAACCGTAACCCTGCAGCAGCTGTGAGAGAGATAACACTGCACATGTTGTCAAGCTGATATTTAAGTACAGTGACTTAATATTAAATTTTTACTTTTCCCTTTTCAAAATCCTGTTTTTCTTTCAATTACTCATAAACAAGATTTTAAAAGTGCAGACAGCCCAATGTTTGACCGAGCCTGACCAGTTGTTGCGACCATTAACATCTACTTATTATGCTTCTGGTCTGCTTTTACCTTTTTTTTTATTTAAGAAAAGAGCCACTCTTATCTGAGATGTCATGCAAGATGGCTTTTTTTTTTTTTTTTACTTTTCACTTTCATAATGTGCCTTTGTTGGCTATTTATAGCAAAACTCGCCATCAGGCATGACATCTTATTAATTATAAAATTCCTTTCTGATGTACTGGCAGCACATTGATTATAAAATGCTAATCTACAAAATAAGATCTTGACTTGTATGAAATGTTATCCAGTCAAATGCACGTGAGAGAGGGGGATTATTTTTCAAGAGGTCTCAGAACCAGAATTGTTTCAGTTTCATTGCTTGGCAACCATCAGCACTTCAAACATCATCACACTTTAGTGGTAAAATGACACAAAATCAGATCACTGAGGCCAGTTAATGAATTCATTCAATCAATTGCTGCCAAAAATATTAAGAAAAAAACAATAAAGATGTAAGACAGAAACTCATCAGGAGTCAAAACCTGTAAAAATGTTTTTAACCCTTTGATGTATAATGGTCACTACAGTGGACAGGTACTCAAAATTGTTATTTATTAGTTTTTGCTATTAAGCACAGCTGTTGAAGAGTTTATTACATTTGAGCCTCTCCATTTGGACTTCAGTAAGCCAAGCCAACATATTTCATGCTCAGAATGCACGCTGTCCATGGACATGCAATAAATTATTTGTAAATTATAAAACTTTATAAAAATATTTGTTGAAATTTGTTCCATTCACACCTAAAGACGAATGAAAAAAATGTTTAAAAAATCATGGTTGAAGATTTCATAATTCATGCATCAAAGGGTTAAGGGGGAAATTTCATCATTTAGCTGATAAATGGCTTGTTCGCATGAAGAAGGCGGGACTTAAAACATGTACTGGTGCCAGCCACTAGGGGGTGCTTTGGTTCCTTTTGCTTTAGTTATTAATTTTTCTTCATAATCAACTAAATTTCATTCTTCTTCTTCTTTCTAATGTTAATATTGTACCTTTTATTTTTCCGTCCTCTCATTACTTTACACATAAGGTTTAAATCTAGGGATGCTCGGTTTGGGCTTTACTTTTACTGATATCTGATATGCCAAGAAACCAATATACCTTAAAACATTGTGGTTTATAATAGGAAAAGAACCATATTTATGCTGTCTCCAACAGCAGCTGAGTCTCATCCTCCAGTGAGATGCTAACATGTGTGTTATTAGTTAGTAATGTATTTTTTCTGTACATTGTAGTTTTGATGATAAAAAATCTTTCGGTGAAAATTCTTGAATTTGGTTTTATTGTTTGTCACTAAGGGCAAATTTCTACTTCACAAGTTCTGCCACATAAACTAAAATATCGCCAACCCTTTACATCAGATCTGTTATATTTTGACATTTTGAGACAGAGAAGTAGCTGAAGAGTCTGATGTTTAATATTTGTATGGTATGTAAATGTGTCATTAAAAGACTGGAAGGTGATACAGATAGTTTTCGACATTAAATTTTAATGCCAATATTAATGTCAGACATCCCTGCTTAAGGCAGATAGACCGTCCACTTTCTGTAAATATACTACAGCATCAAATATTCTGTCATACAGTCAGAAGAAATATGTATTTAAATTAAAATGAAAAAGAGAACATATTAACATTTACATTGAAACCTGTTGGCAGCAATTGATTTAAACAAATGTGTGACAAAAAAAAGGAACAAGACTAATATAATATCCCAGAATCAAAACTGATATTTTGATAATCCCTACTTAGGAAAGCATAGATGCTTTGGAGATCATCTCTTTTTCCACCTCCCTCCCGCTCAAAACCTTTTCTTCCTTGTGTGACATTTTCATCTGTAACAAAACAGTCTGGTGTGGTGACTCCTGATGGAAGCAGCAATGGTTGAGGGCGACAATGGAAAAAAACTGAGAAAGCACAGAAACACGAGCAACACTCAGCTTACTGCAATGACCTTTGACATTTGAATCGTCCTTGTAGATCAATAGAGAAGTCAATTTCTCCTCATTACAGCGGCTTTTTGACCAGCAACACGCATTTGTCCTCAAACGTGCCTGTCTCTTTTTATAATAAAGTCAGTAACTCCATCGTAGAGATAAACGGAGTCATCTTTGTTCTCAGAGGAGGGAAAATAGCACCTCTGAGCTTGGCTAAAGGAATCGGCCCCTTGTTTATCAAAATATGATTAGTGAGTCACTACAAGGGCTCAGGCACCAGACTAACAGTGTTTAAACTTAACAGAAAGAGGGAGCTTTGATGAGGAAGGTAGTTGAACTGGTTCAGAGCCTGTTGCTATGGCAGCCATGTGGAATAAATCTGCAGCTTGAATTCCATTCACAGATGCCTTCAGCTGCCCGACTCAGGTGGACCTAGACAGAATACGAATTAGTAGATGTCCTGCTGAGCACAAGAAAAAAAATGGCTGTTTTTATTTATACTCTGGATTTCCTTTTTCTTTGAGCAACATTTTAAAATACCTTCAAGTCATTCATTTACTTGTTTTACATATATAGTTTTATTGCTTTGTCAGTTTGGATGCAGGTTTGAATCCTTCCAAGCTGACGTGATGAGAGAGGCAGGCAGCCCATCAGGGCTAACCTGACTCACAATCCCACGTGATTACGCTGACAAAAATGATCAACGCAGACTCAACACTGATGTTTTAGAGGTAGCCAGAGAGAAAAATTCAAGTTTTAAAACTACTATCACATACTCCAAATACCTCACCCAAAAACAGTGTATAATGTTGGTAGAAACACTGCATTTTATGTGCATGAGATACACACATAAAACTGCTGCAATTTAGCTTTCTTGGAAAAAATAAGATTAATCTATCACCAGCATGTGCTGGGTTCAACTTCCATTCTGCAGATTTAATGAAGTCTGACCCAAAATAAAGCTTGCTCTTTATCTAAGTTGAAAAAGAAAAGATTTTGCATAAAAAGAAAATAAAAACTACTGTGTAAATACAACTGTAATCACAGGTACAGCTCTTGTGTGTATGCATTAGCAGAAAGTTTATTTACTTCATTGTCTTCTGTGCAGAAACTGACATTTAAGCAGTTGGAGGATGCACAAAGATTTGTTTTGAGGTCAGATGCAGATTTTTTTTTTATTCTTGTGCAGCTCTGGCCAGCTGATACCTGTTGAGATCAGTTTGGATTTATCTGAAAAAAATCAATTTCTAATGACGTTGAACATTGAGATTCATTTTTGGTAGATTCTATATTGCTAGCATGAATTCCTCAGTGAAAGTGAGATCACAAACTAGGAAAGGTTTTTATTAGGGGTGTTCAAAATGATTGGCCTACCACTAATCGTGGCTGATATCAGCGTTTTACTTTTAAATATAAGCATGCGTGATAGGAGATATGTGATGTTAGTAACCTAAAGTGTGTTCATTTTTCTTTTCTTTTATGAGAGGGGGGCACAGGGTATATCGATAATGGAAATCAAAAGTCAGACAATATCGGATATTGGATATCAGTGAAAATGCCAGTATCGAGCATCCCTAATTTTTATTATTATGATTGTCATCCGCAATGAACCGAATTAAAGAAAAAAGTGTGAGTTTTAGATTGGGCTGCATGGTGGCGCAGTGGTTAGCACTGTTGCCTCGCAGCACGAAGGTTGCAGGTTCGAAACTCGGCTCGGCTGCGGCCTTTCTGCGTGGAGATGCTTGTTCTCCCCATGCATGCGTGGGTTCCCTCCGAGTACTCCGGTTTCCCCCACAGGTCACAACATGCCCTATAGGTTATAAATTGTAAGTCCCTTGGGATAAAAGCGTCTGCTAAATAAATAAACATAAACATAGATTGGCCAATCACTGATAAAACATCAGCTTATATTATGGTCCATCTCTATTTAAGATTCACACTACATGTTCTGATGGCGACACAACTTCTACACGTCTTTAGAGTCTGGTCAGCGGCTCAGGAAGTACTTGAACACTTTACCTAAAACCACAGAGGTGAAAGCAACGAAGGAATGTCTTGTTTTTAATAACAGGCATTTTTAAAGGCCACAATATTTACACAATATTGACATTTTACTGGTGAAATTTTCAAGGATTATGTAGATATAAGGTCTTGACACAAAATGAATAATCTATAGACAGTAGAGGAAAAATTACAGTGACAGAACCAATAAATAATACACAAAATAAAATAAAAAAATACAAGATTCTGCAGAGCACAGCAACTAGTACACTCACTCGAGTCATTTTACTGTAACATCAGGCTGTCTGAGGAGTAAATGAAAATTCATAGCACTCACTTTTGCTAATGACATGCTAGAATGGCCAGCGTGGCATTTGTTGGTTGTGGAAAATGAGGTGCTGTACATTGCTGTTTGTGGTGGCAATCATGCCTCCCATCTGCAACATCGGATGGAAGGGTGTCGAACAAATAAAAGGTGATGAAGGGAGAAATAAAACGTGGGAGTTAGAGAAGAAAACGATGTAGACAAATGGCAAAAATTCAGGAAAAAGAAGTTATATGCACATCTGTGTTGATGAGTTCGATTTAAAGGAGAAACGATAAATATAAAACCGAAATATCCACACGGTGAATCTTTTTTTTTTTCTTCATCTACTAAAACAAGTTTTATAAGTGCATAAATAATGTCACTGAGTTATTTGCCAGGTGGAGCATGCCTCGAATAACCATATTAGCATCATTGCAACACATATCATGGCTATTGTACCTACACATCCTACAGCCATGATCAAAATCTATTTTAAATAAGCAGTGTTAGAATGTAAAGTTTTTCCACTGTACAAAAAAGAACAACAATACCAGTTTTAGCGTCATTATGGCCAATGAACTCCAACTGAAACAGAACATAGAATAATTTAACATGCTATTACAAAAGAATAAGTGTGTTAACTTTATTTTCTTACATGAAATATACAAGAAAATGGTCGTATTTATCTGCCTGGAGATAAAAGCAGGTTTTTGAACGAATCGGTCTGAGTTTTTGGATTGCTCAGCCCACAGGTTATCGTGTGTCCATCTGATCAGAGGCAACTTTCTCTGTCGTCCATCTGCCTCGATACAGACTCCACTCTGACGCTAATACAGAAAAGACACTTCTGAAATAGTCAAAAATACAGAACTGTAGCTACAATCATGAAGCGGTCTGCTACTGTTTTCTTTTTTCTTTTACTGCCCTTATTTAAAGTAAAGCAAAAACCTTTTGCACGGTGTAAATTGTGTGATCTTTAAACAGTGTGTGTATACGTGCAGTGTGTGTGTATGTGTGTGTGCTCTCAGGTGTCAAAGGTGTGCCTGGGAGCTCTGTGGGAGTTCTCCTCACTCTTCCCTTTCCCTTTTTTGTCACCACCCAGAGAAATGTACTTCCTTTTGGTCTTTTTGCGCTTCTTGTCAGAGCACCACACTCTCTCGCAGTACTCTTCGACTTTCTGTGCATCACCGTAGCCAATTAGCTGGAGGAACTCCTTGTACCACAGCCTGGAGCTGGGAGCTGGGGCTGCGGGGGGCAGCAGAGACCTGGGGCTGACGCTGGGACCTGGTGGGGGGGCGACGATGGAGTGGCATCTTTCTCCGTCTTTGTCGTTGGCCACACGGATCGCTGACTCCAGCCTCTCTCCTTTGAGCACGTGCAGGCTGATGCGTAGTAACGTGTGCACATATCCGTGTTCCACAGTCTGGCACACGTACTCGCCAGCATCAGAGCTCCTCACATGTAAGAACAGCAACCCGTGCGAGGTCATGATGATCCGCTCATCGCCACGAACCTACACGAAAAACAATTCAGTTTTTTCTCCCTGAAACCACCAATGAAGCAATTATGGAAATTGAGTCAACAAGTTAATTGAGAAACTGCTTTGCAAACGAACCATAATTAATGGATCAAGGAGGGCGAGCACTTTAACAGTTCACCCAATACAGTGACTAATGTGCTCTAAGGACGGTCTGTCTGCAGCTCCAGTTCAATTCTGTTGCTTAGTCACGATTTTTATGCATTTAAAAGAACACTGGAGCAGAAGAAAAAATAGAAATCTGCATTCAGAAGCCTGCTGTCTACAGCTGTTATGATTCAAGTCCACAGCTTCCAACTGTTAGAGGAAAATGATTACCGGTAAAAATTGATCCATTTGTTTATTTTGTAATTAGTTGAATTAGCATTTCTCTCTGAGTGGAGAAGATCAAAACTGTTTCAAGTGTTTATGTAAGTTTAAAATTACACTCTGATGCTAAAGACAGATTAAAAGTGAGATTATAAAAAATTCACCTCGTGTTTTTCTCCTTCTTTTTGTAGAAACCAGAGGACCTTCGCTTGAAGTGATCGAGGGACACATTCAAGTAAAGTACTGTTGCTCTCCACGCTGTAGATGAGCCTCTCCTCTGCTCTCTGCCATTGTTCATCTACACACCCACACACACACACATGATAGTGAGGCAAGAATGATGGCAATTGACTGCAGTGACCTTTCATCAGATGGATAACATAAAGCTGATAGTTTTCCTGTCATAGTACACACATACACTGACCCCACAGTAACCTCTGTCTGAAGCAGCTCATGAAGATTTATTTCTTTTTTGTTTTAAATATCATCATCTATTTCGAATTTGGTCGACTATTTCTTTGTAGATAACTCCACATACGCTCACACACCATTCCAAATGCACTTTTCACAGTCATTTTCTACACTAACCATCAATTTGCAGCCCATTGCACAGCTGTGCGGCGTTGCCATGGCGAACATCCTGCCGTCTGAATCGTCTGCTGCAGACAGTAAGTGAAAAGGAATCACTTTAAACATGTCATGAAAACACGAGAGAAGGGCGAATCAAAAAAGAGAAAGTTGCATTGAAGAGGGGGAAGGTTAAAGGAAGGAGGGGAACAAGTGCATGCTGATGGGCCTTACGCAACACTTGACTCTCATGTGCTTGAATAACAACGAGGTGATCGGCATCACAGACTTGTGACTTTTAGGGCATGAGGAGCTAGGGGTTAAGGTGTGAACAGCTGGCACCCACCCACACACTTCTGCAGTGTGTGTGTGTGTGTGTGTGTGTGTGTGTGTGTGTGTGTGTGTGTGTGTGTGTGTGTGTGTGTGTGTGTGTGTGTACCTCTTGGTGTTTAAATTTTTTTTTCTAAAGGACTAGAAACAGAAGTCCACTCTTGGCAGTGTAGCCTGATAGTCCACTGTTAGGACTGTTGACGTGTATGTGTGTGTGTGTGTGTGTGTGTACCTCTTGGTGTAAACTCCAGCTGGGTAGAATCTGGAGCAGGTGAGCCCATCCCAGGCACAATACGGGTCTCTAGCCAGACAACAGTCAGCACATTCTGAGCCGTAGAGGTCACACTGATGCAGTCTGACTTGTGCAACGCCCACTTCTGACCCCACATACAGCTGTTGCTGTGGAACCAAAAATATGGAGCATGGTTTCTAATTTTAAGTGAATCAGATGTCTAAATAATCTATTCTGTCTTTTCTTAATCCATCTGGACTACTTAGCCACAAGTAGGCTACATTACATTTAAATCATGTCAGTTCTGAGTATTGCAAACCGCTCCAATGATGTCATCTTGTGGCTAAGTGGCAAAACTGCAGGTTCATTTGAATAATGCTCTTACCCTTTTAGGTGATATAATGATCTCTCGGATTGGTGCTGGTACCTGAAAACCATTCAAAAAGGAATGTGAACAGAGTGTTGGAACAATAAAAAAATCACGTGTTACTTTTTAACTGAAGCTTTTTTTATTTTTGTAATTTTTTTCCAAAAATTGTTAAACCGTCAGCAACTACTCCTATCAGACTAGAATTATTTAAAGCAACTTTTCTGTGCTCTTTGACTCTGATGATGGACTGGAAAAATAATTATGCAGGATTTACTTCATTTAAACGGATATTTCAGATCTTTTGAAGTTAGATTATTGGAAAAGGTTTTAAATAATTAATGTCTGGGCAGCTTTTTTCAAAACAGATGAATTCTGACCAGACAGATTGTCCAATGTCTGGTTTGAAAGAGTTAAAAATATGCAAAATTACCTTTTATAAGCATTTGCACTACACTGAATAACTAAATAACACTTTTTAGTGTAGATGTCTTTGTTGCGCCAGAAAATGGAAATTGGTTGTGGAAAATCCAGGTTAGTATAATATATGGTGATGTGAAGGCTCCATTTGTCCAAAAATCCATTATCTTATGCGGGGTCGGGTCGCGGGAGCAGCAGCCTAAACAGAGAGGCCCAGACTTCCCTCTCCCCAGCCAGTTGGGCCAGCTCCCCAGGGCCAAGGCGTTCCCTGGCCAGCCGAGGAACATAGTCCCTCCAGCGTGTCCTTTAGGTCTTCTCCCGGTCGGAAAACCTTGCCAGGGAGACGTCCAGGAGACATCCTAACCAGATGCCTGAGCCACCTCAACTGGCACCTATTGGTGTGGAGGAGCAGCGGATCTTCTCTGAACTGCTCCCAGATGACTGAGCTTCTCACTCGATCTTTAAGGGACACCCTTTACAGAAAACTCATTTTGACTTCTTGTATTGTGATCCTGTTCTTTTGGTCACCACCCAAAGCTTGTTACCATAGATGAGAGCAGGAGCATAGATCAACCAGTGAACAGTGCACTTCCTGTTCCGGTCTCTTCACTACAAGAGACCAGTTCAATGCCTGCATCACTGCAGATGCAGCACCAATCCGCCTGTTGATCTCACACTCCATGTATCCCTCACTTATGAACAAGACCTCTAGATGCTTAAACTCCTCCACTTAAGGCAGGACCTCATCCCTGACCTGAAGAAGGCATTCCAACATTTTCCAACTCAGGACTATAGTCTTGGATTTATAGGAGCCGATTCTCATCCCAGCAGCTTCACACTCAGCCGCGAAATGCTCCAGCAAAAGCCAGAGATCACGTACTGATGAAGCCAACAGGACCACATCATCTACAAATAGCAGAGACCTGATCCAGGCGATCCCCTCACCATCTTGCCTGCGTCTAGAAATCTTCTCCATTAAAGTTACAAGCAGAATCGGTGACAAAGGGCAGCCTTGGAGGAGTCCAACCCTCACCGGAAATGAGCCCAACTTACTGCCAGCAATGTGGACTAAGCTCAGAGGTTCTCTGCTGTTTCCTGAATGCTAAACCAACAACAGTCTTCCTCGTCTTGAGTCAAGATGGATAAGTCCAACAAAAGTTTAAGTGACAGTGTTAAGGAGATCTGTCAGTTTTTTTGCCTAGAGATTCACCGTCTGTTTTTAATCAGAAACTAATGCAGGAGATAGGTTGGAGGCTGATTTCATGATCAGCCTGCATGAAAATCTCAGTGACCTATTATAATCAGAATTTATCATTAAAAATGGTTTTGTCAGTGTTCTACACCTTTCAGTTCTCCCTCAACATATATATATATATATATATATATATATATATATATATATATATATATATATATATATATATATATATATATATATATATATATATATATATATATATATATATGTGTGTGTGTGTGTGTGTGTGTGTGTGTGTGTATAACTTTAAATGGGGCAAAACCAACACTGATTAACCTTTTATTTTATTATATTTTATTTTATTTTTGTGAGTTTCAGAGCCCACGTTTAAAAGTTAGAAGGACTGGAATGTGCCATAGCACAAGGTTGATCAAAATTTAATGTTGGGCTACCATGTGTGCATGCCCTTAAATAGTGAATGCACTTGTGTGGCAGCGGTTTCCCTTACAGCCCTTCTGCATTTTAACAGATCACCTAATGTGCCTTAAACCAACATGACCCACAGCATCTGCATGTTTTTGTCCTGCACTCATTCACACCAGTGACTCCTAACCAGAGTCAAACCTCCAACTTTATGATTAATGCAAAACCTGCTCTGTCTTGTGGGCCACATGTGTCTTGAAGGAAAAACAGTCGTTATTATTACTGTACTGCAGAGAGATTTGCAGTTCATACTTTTCATCTTTGCTCACTCCCACATTATTTATGGTATTTTTGGCTAGATATGCTATTTCTCATGCTTTCAGAACAAACACTCTATAAATTAGCAACCACTGCTCACTTTAAGAGCTTGTTTTAGATCTAAACTTGAGACCTCTTGCCTTCAAATTGAGAAACATATCAAAGCACGAATCAGGACCTGCACATGTTTGCTTTACTAACAGCTTATGCAGCCAAATATAGAGTACCTTGAATACTTGCATCTCTTCCAGCAACACCTCCTCCATAGTGTCTGAGTCTTTGTTATAGATGGTGATAACTTTCAAAACCACAGAGTCATCTAACAAACAAATAAAAAAAAAACACAAGTTTAATTAAATGTTTGAGAGATTTGAATAGAATGAAATTAATGTCTGAGTATGCATGAAAAAAAAACATGAATGCTAATTTTTCGCTGTCATTTTATTCTGCAGAACTCCGGGTTTTACCAGTGCCAATATAGAGAACGTGATAGTGACCATCCTGGGCTTGGACTCTGTCTACTGCTATCTGGGTCAGCTTCCTTCTACCCGGTTCTGCCTGCAGTAGGACAGGTCTGAGATGCTGAGGAAGGACTGGTCGGTACATCACAGGATGAGAGCGTGCAAACCGCAGAACCTCATCAGGAAACTCCTTTGAGCTGGAGAAACCTCCGCCGTTCACTTTGCTGGCACACTGTTAACAAGACGAAATTACAGAAGGGGTGAGGAGGAGTCTGCAGAAGAAGACCGATAATTGTGTCAGTGCTGGGAGGGTGGGGAAACGGTCAAAACTGGACTAATGACTAATGTATATATATTTTTTCAGACTGTCCTTACATGAACTGCTGGGTTAGTTCCAGCAGTTCTTACCTTTGGAAAGGCTGTCTTACATTCTTTTGAGGGTTTGAACGTGAATATTTGTGTTTTGTGGGCACAGGTGGGATAAAAGGAACACTGGCAGGTCGAAGGACTGGCGGCTTTCCCTGAAACATCTGATCTTGTTAAGTCAATTCTCACCCTAAAGACCTGTTGCCTTCATTCAAACCCATTTGGATTACCATGACCAGGTTGACCTTTACCAGCATAATTCCAGCAATAAAATTTTGATCCAGGCTTACCTCAAATTTCATTTAGCACCACTGCCTTTCCGTGATTATTTGCAAGGCTGTTCAGCAGAAGTGTGGACTCAAGTCACATGACTTGGACTCGAGTCAGACTCGAGTCATTATTTTAATAACTTCTGACTTGACTTGATCACATCTATAAAGACTTACGACTTGACTCGGACTTAAATGACAATGACTTGCGACTTTGATTGACTTGAATCTGTTGACTTGATGATGACTTGAGCATTTGTTATATGTAGCGTCATGAAGGGACTGTTTTCCTTTCTCCTCAGGAAGAACTTATCTCCTTGAGATTTTGCTCAAGGCCTTTTGATGCCTCTGCATCTAAACAGTTTTAACTGCCTCCCCCTACCGCTAAAGAGAAGAAAGAAGACCAAAAACTCTTTTCTCTATTAAATGATGGTCAAATACCTGTGTTAGTTCAAATAATCATGTAAAGCTCAATCAATCTGTGAAATGAGAATATGAATTACTTCATATTATAATCCTATGATAGCCTTTTAAGAAGAAATACACACTACACACTAGACTGATCACGCGTAATGTTAAGATCACCAGACACATTCCTTTGTCTCTCCAATCAGAGCTTTCCTTTCTGACGCGTGGCATGATCTGTGCGGCGTTTATTTTTGTGTCCAATTCTAATTTGACCATAAATCAAAACATCTGAACTATAAAACTAACTCCCACGTCATCCTTAACTCAGTTCAAACGTTCTAGAGTTGCAAGCCGACCACTTGTAACTTTTTAGCCACAAAGAACCTAACGACAAGCTGGAAAATAAAACCTGTTGCAAGCTCCACCTGATGCAACGCTCCTTCAGAGTAAAAGCTGAACTCACTGACCCTTCAGGGTCCCGCTGACGCTGTCAACCAACTGCCGCTTACCTGGAGGCATTCCAAGACTAGTCTGTCATACCGTACGCTGTTTCACCGGCTTCGGTACCAAAGGGGGGTTCGAGAACCTGGCATTCTGGATCTACACGGAGGTACACAAGGGTATGTAGCTCGGTAAGATAGCATCTGAATGTGGTTTTTGAAACTCCGACTGTAGTTTAGAGCAAAACATTCACTCCCACACAGAACTAAGGCTTCTCCGGAAACGAGAGTTTTGATAACAACAATCCACATTTACACCATTCATTTTGCCTCATTCACAACGTAGATCCAATTCATCACAGAGTGTTTAAAGTTAGAGTTAGACTTGTTTTAAATTGTTAAGAAATAAATCTTCTTAAACTTTAAAACTTGTCTCTCTCTTTTTGACTCTGGGTTATTACGAAGTGTTACCTAATCCCTGCAATGAAAAGTTCCGATCTTCTGATTAAAGGTAGTATTCAAAGATACATCAAATTGATTCCATATTTTCTATGGAATCTCACCTTTGATGGTTTCCTACGTAAGACGTTACTATTGATCCACAACAATATTTTAGCACAAAAGTGGCCCAACATGGACAAAAATCATAAATCATTCTTTGTTCTGGGTTTGATCTTGTTCTGCTAAATGCAGCAGCAGTTTGTTTATAATCTGTTTCCGTTGCACTTTCTGCTTGTTTGAGCAAATAAATAAAACTTTAAGAAGCTTTATTTCTGAAATGTATTTATTATCACTGTCATGAAATTGAAGTTAGACAGATGACTTGATTATGACTCGAAAATTCAAAGTTAAGGACTTGAACTTGACTTGGACGTCCACATTTTGACTTTGGACTCGACTTGGACTTGGTTGTCTTTGACTTGGACTTGACTCGAGACTTGACTGGAAAGACTTGTGACTTACTTGTGACTTGCATAGCAGTGACTTGGTCAAACCTCTGCTGTTCAGTGTCAAAAGCATTGCAAATACTTGCAAAAATAAAATAAATAATAACTAGATTTAAGGAGTGAAACTACCTTCCTGCTGGAATCTCATGCCACACATTAAAGAAAATAAAAGTCTGGATTATTCTCTGGAAATGAGATTGAATAATGACTGGTAATCTGCCATTTAAATCCATGACTATTATTTTAATGAAGAACCAAGGCTTACAGATCCGGGTCGAGGGTAGGGGACTCTGTCTTCATAAGGAGTCCAGTGATGTTCAGGTCTCTCTCTGTAGCCATACGGTCCATTAAAAGCTGCTCTGATGTCATCCATCTGATAAACGCACACTGCATAACCTTTAAACACGGCACTGCAGAGGAAAGTTATTAGTGATTTGATGAAGGAAAATATTCTGTTGCAGTCAGACGGTGCCAAGCTGCATTCACCTTGTTGTGCTAAAAAGACCAAATATTTCTGGATTTTTGTCGTCTTTGTTGTTCAGCACAAACACGTCCTCTGGAACAAACAAAACATTAGCAACATTTTTCATAAAACTAACAAACATAGTTTTGACTGAATCTATTAAAAGTTGTTGAAGCCCTACCCAGATCATCAAAGTGTGTATCGATGCCATTTGGCCCAGGAACAGAGCAGATGAGACGAGTCTTCAGGAAGGAGCTCCATCTATTCACCAACATCCTCTGTCCTCCCTGGTCATTCTGAGAAATGAGACCAGGTTATGTTCTGACTCTGCTCGTCAGAACCTGCTGAGTTATGACCAGAAATGTGCACAGTCTCACCGCACAGACTCGCCCAACGCGAGCATACACAGCCCTGTTCACTCCCTCTGCATCCATCTCTCGCTCGGTGAAGAAGAAGTACACTTTGTCATCATCCCTGTCGTCGTTGTCTGGAATAACTGCTGAAGCCACAAACTTAGGCTCTGTAGGAAGGAGGTTTCAAGGAAAACAAAAACCATAAATCAAGACAAAAGTATTTAAACATAGTGTATAGTTTTATATTTTGTTGGAACGTCCAGTGGTGTGTCCAAGCCTTTTGAAAATGGGGTGGCCCAGTTGGGACACTTGCTTATGCATGGGTGAAAGAGGCCCACAGTGTTTTGTACTGTTTGTATTCGAGTAGTGCAGTTGTAAAACTTTAGGGCAAATAGAAATACATTAAGAATGAAAAGATGCAGAAAAAGTTCAAATTTAAAAAAAGTGTTTGAAAAATTGAATTACTAAATTTTAAAATAAATAAATCTATAAATATCTGCTGATAGGTATTTTGATTTGAATAAGAAAGAAAAGGAAGAAACAGTTTTTATATAGCGCCTCTCAAGATCACAAGGAGCTTCACAAGAAAAAAAATTAAAACTAAAATAATAAAGCTATCATAATACAAAAATGGGAAAAAAGAACATCATAGGACTGTGTTTCATTTACAATAAGATCTGCTTGGTGGTAGTTCCAGAGAACAAACAGAATTATGCAGCAGCAAAAGTGGAATGCAGCCTTTGTTAATTCATTTTTTGAGAGAGATGGCGCTTGCGCACGGTCACGCTGCGAGCTGCTCGTCCTCTTTACGCACTGATGCCTTGCATTTTATCGGTTTTTTTTGGCGTTTTATTGGCTTTTATGCACTTTTCTTGTCGCTGATCCCTTTTTTGAATGGTGTGGATCCTCTGCTGACATATGATCGAGCTGCGCTGCTGAGGCTTCGTCCTTCCGTTGATGTAGCCGGCAGCGCGCGCTGGGAACCGGGCTGTGCGAGCTATGAACCTCACGGACGATGCTGCTGGTTGAACTGCCCGCGTGTTCTCTCCACCCAAGCCGTGATGTGTCGGCCCTCTGTCCGCCCCAGCTCGAGAAGGAAGCATCGGAGAAGACGAGGAAAGAGAGGTAGCCGGCGCGTGAGACGTCGGCCTGGATCCCTGAACAAGCGGCTGGCCCGATCCGGCTCAACTTCTGACCCGATGGTTCCGAGATGTCTCCTGGATTACTCGGTGCCCTGCCCACGGAACTCGGCCGGCTCTGATGGTGTATCGGCACCGCTCCACGGCCGATCGGCTCGAAGATCACGCCAGACTGGGGTTTGCTGGGAGAATCTGCGCTCGGTTACGGGCACAGAGTTAGAGGGGACTGGGTCCGTGCGCAATCTCTGTGCTGCAGCCCCTCTGCAGACCCGGTTTGGTTTGGTCAATGCCAGGTCTGTGCTGAACAAAACTTTTATTCTTCGTGACTTTTTTATTCAGCATGACCTGGGTTTTCTCTGCATCTGTGAGTCCTGGATCCCGTTTGGCGACACAAGTTCCCTACTCGAGCTCATACCACCTGGCTGCTCGTGTTTTAATATCCCCAGGTCACGGGGCAGAGGTGGAGGGCTGGTTGTTGTTTTTAAATCCAGCTTTCCTTGTAAACAGCTTACACCCACCATGTCATTTTCTTCCTTTGATCTGTGCTTATTTGAACTGTGCATCTCCCCCCGCCTGCTCGTTGTGCTGATTTATCGGCCTCCAAAGACTGATTCTAACTTCCTTAATGATTTCTGTGATCTTGTGGCAGACTGCATCCTAAAATATGATTATGTCCTATTTTTTTGGTGATTTTAACATCCATATCTGCTGTCCTGATAATGTGCTTGCTAAAGGTTTTTTTTAATTTGCTAGAGTCATTCAATCTAACTCAATGGGTATCATCCCCAACTCATGCCAGGGGTCACACCCTGGACCTGGTTATCTCTTATGGTCTACCCATCATGAACCTTGTGGCTTTGCCTCCTGTGTTCTCTGACCACTCTCCAATACTCTGTGATGTTACGTTGCCATGGCCTGTCCCTGTGTGTGAAGCTCCAGCTACTAGGTTCAGAGCCCTGGATGCAGAAACTATTTCAAAGTTTGTGGACTGTATGTCTGTAAGGTTAGAGACCTTTAACCCAGATCCATCTAACGTTGATCACTATTCACAACACTTTGATGTACTTTGTAATCAGGTCCTGGACGTGGTTGCCCCTCTCAAGCTTTGCAAGTCTCGGCCTAGGAGGGAGCCTTGGCTCTCTGATGTCACACGGGCTTGTAGGCGGGCGTGTAGATCCTCTGAGAGAAAGTGGAAAAAGGATGGCCTACAGGTCTCGCGTGAGTTGTTCAGAGCATCTCTGGTTGCTTATCAGGATGCAGTGAGGGCTGCCAGAATTGCCTATTTTGCAGACATCATTGAGACTAACTCCAATAATCCTAAGATTCTCTTCAAAACGCTAAACTCAGTTCTGGTGTATCAGGAGCCTAACTCCATGTCTCCTACAGCTGCTGGAAACTCTGAAGCTTTTCACAAATTCTTTGTTGATAAAGTATCAGGCATTAGAGCAGCTATTTCTGGTAACTCTATTGACCCTGTTCCAGTTCATCCATTACCACCCACCCTGAGCTCCCTCAATACAGTTTCATACTCTGAGCTGAATAAGCTAGTTGCGAGGCAGAAGCCATCTGGCTCTCCACTTGATGTTCTACCGCCTCGTCTCTGGAAGGCTGCCTTTCCGTGTCTTGGCCCATCACTTGGTCAGATTATCAATGGGAGCCTCAGCACAGGTGTGGTCCCAGCTGCTTTGAAAGCAGCAGTTATTCGACCGACCCTGAAGAAACCTGGTGCTGATGTCTCTGTGATCGAAAATTACAGGCCTATCTCTACCCTGCCCTTTACATCTAAACTGCTTGAGAAAGTCGTTTATCAGCAGCTGGTCTCACATTTAGCTGACTCTGATCTGTTTGAGGTTTTCCAATCAGGGTTCAGGTCTGGCCATAGCACAGAGTCTGCTCTACTGAGGGTCCTAAATGACATCTATCTATCACTAGATCACGGAACATCTGTGCTGCTTCTGTTATTAGACCTGACAGCAGCCTTCGACACAGTTGACCACGCGATTCTACTTGATCGCTTGGAACGATGGGTTGGGATCAAAGGGTCAGCTCTGGACTGGTTTAGATCGTATCTCCAAAACAGGACATTCTGTGTTAAACTGGGTGATGTTTTTTCTTCTTGGGAGGGGCTCCGGTGGGGGGTCCCGCAGGGGTCGATCCTTGGTCCACTTTTGTTTGCCATTTATCTGCTACCTCTGGGGTCAATCTTTCGTAAACATGGCCTATCATTCCATCTGTATGCTGACGATTGCCAGATTTACTCTCCATTGTGTCAGGAGAAAGGTCACTCTATTCAGTCCTTTGTCTCCTGTGTTAATGAGGTGAAGTCTTGGCTAATGTCCAACTATCTACATCTGAATGAGGGAAAGACAGAGCTCATTGTTTTTCACCCCAACAGCAGGAATGTGGATCGTTATGCTGATCTTGGCCCTCTTTCTCCATACTCAAAACCAGTTGTTACCAGTTTGGGGGTGAAACTTGATGTAGGACTTAAATTTGATGCTCACATCAATTCTGTGATCCGGTCCAGTTTCTTTCACCTGAGACGCCTTGCTAAAATCAAGCATATGCTGTCGAGAGCCCACCTGGAGCGGGTACTGCATGCCTTTGTAATTTCTCGGCTTGACTACTGCAACTCTCTCTACGCAGGGTTGTGTCAGTCAACATTGCGTCGCCTACAGGTTGTGCAGAACAGCGCTGCCAGGTTCCTGACTGGGACCAGGAAACGGGACCACATCAGTCCAGTTCTGGCCTCCCTGCACTGGCTTCTGATTTCCTATCGCTCACAATTCAAAATACTCGTCTTTGTTTATCATTTCTTCCAGGGTGGTGCTCCCCCCTATCTAGCCACACTCCTGAACAAACATTCCCCATCACGCGCTCTGCGCTCCTCTGACCAAGGCCTGCTTGCTGTCCCTCGGTCTAGGTGTCGTACCCGTGGGGACCGGGCTTTCTCAGTCCTAGCACCGTTACTCTGGCACCAGTTGCCACCCTCAGTTAGGCTGTCCCCTTCTCTGCCAGTCTTTAAGAATCACCTTAAAACACACCTCCTCCGCTTGGCGTTTCCAGAACATGTTTGATTATGGCCCTCTATTATGTTGAATCCATTCCACAGTTTTCATTGGTACACTCAATCCATCCACTCAATCCAATTGTGTTTCACACATTTGTATTTTACCGGAATGTTTCATCTATCTTGTTATTTCCATTTTGTATTTTGTAATTTGTATTTTGTAATTTGAATTTCTTTTATTGTTGATTTATTCAGTATAATTACTTACAACTGTACCATATTCAGCGCTTTGGGCTTCCTGACAGGGTTGCGGAAGGCGCTTTATAAATAAAGCTTTGATTGATTGATTGATTGATTGGTTGATTGATTTTCCCACTAAGCAAGCTTTTCTGCAGCTTCCCACTTTTTCACATGAAAGCATCTATCATTAACTGTAAAAAAAAATAAAAAGTTATGTTTCATTCTAATAATGATCCATGCAAATGTTTCAGCATATAATTACTTTTAAATGTCATCAAATTATTTAAAACAAAGAACTGCTTGTTTTGATTTTTACAAAATGAATCAAAAGTCTTAAAGTTAATGATAAAAAGTTGTATATTTCATAGAGCATCTAAATTTGCTTTCTTACGTTAGTGGTTCTTAAACATTTTAGCTTTTCCACCTGAATTAAAACTCAGAAAGAAAACCATTTTTTAAACAGTTAGATCTATATTATTAGTACGATTATCCAAAGTTTGATTGATTCTTTTTGTAGATACACCCAAGGCCCTCCAATCTGGTGTTATATAGCCCACAATTGGGTCCTATCCCCTACTTCAGTTAGTCAATGTCCTAGATGTGGTTGTGTTCTTGTAATGTAAACCAACCATTGAGCTGCTGCCGATCGTTTCTCTCTGTACGTGTGTAGGTGTGGTTGTTAAGGCGACACAAAGCACCGTCGTTCTCCCAGTAGTCGGTGTACAGGCCGATATAAAGCTCTCCTCCTGGTGAAAACACACACACACACACACACGCACGCACGCACGCACGCACACACACACACACACACAGAATGTCTTCAAAATATCAAAGGTAAACCACAAGATGGCAGCATTTACTATCAAAAGGCAAACAGGGTAAAAGAAGAAGGCAAACCTACAAGAATGTGAATTTGCTGGAATAAAAAGCACTGATATCTGAAGCTAAGCTAGAATCAGCGTTGTCTTACTGGAGAGAGTAGATATGCAGGAACTCTTGGGGTCATATGGGCAACGCCCTCTGCCGCTTATAACACTCTCCTCTTCCAGATTAAACATATTCTCCTGAAGACAAAACAAACAGATATTTACATCCAAATTCACAGAAACGCAACTGTTATGCTGTACAAATGCAGAGACTGTGACATCAGTGAGACATCAAGAAAGAATAGAAGGAGATGTGCCGGAAATAATTAACAAGAGGAAGGATAATAAATGGGTGGATGAGAGGGAGGAATGAAGATCGATGAGACGGAGATTTGATGGATGATCGAATGAAGGAGCGGATGTGCTGCTTTGCTCTGCCCTTTCAATGTCGTGGAATCACGACTCCTACTCATCTGATGTTGTTGCTCTTCTCTGCAGGTGGCTGAAACGTGCACACACACACACACTCACTCACATGCATGAACACACACAACACAAACCGAACTGTGCTCCCAGTAGAACCACAACTCATGCTGTGGGCCACCACAATGTTCCCGACAGCTGCTGGCATTTTAGTCAACTAAAGTTGCGTATTGTCCTGATTTATGGGTGGCCACAGAACCCTGCTGCGCGCTGACTATACGGTTGCAACATAAGTCACTTTCTGGCCTTAACTCATCCATCATGGTGAGCGATCTTTCAAAACTAAACGTGAAACTTGTAGAGTAAGCAAACTCAGTATTGGGTTCTAAGCAGTTCTCTGTGGATCTTTTTTTTTTATCAAAACATTAACATCAGTGGAAGATTGATATATACTTCACCAGTCAGTGGCTGGATGTGGTCAGCAGCAGTAGTGATTTATATCATAATCTATCTTAATGTAAATATTATTAATATTCATACAAATCAGTTACATCTGGTGCTGTTTTGCTCAGCCACGAGCATTCCACAGATGCTGGCAAAGTGCTGTTCCTATCTTGTAGTTGCAACTGGTTGACCTGCTGGACCAGTGTCGGAATGCAGGGTGAGAAAGCTCCACCACCACCCTCCTGTCTTTAAGATGGACCAGACACACATTCTCACACGCACACAAACACACCGTTCTGTGTTTGACACACAGGTAAAAATGTGTCGTGTTTTGTTCAAACATGCTCACACCGATACATGAAGCTAATGTTGTTTGTACACCATCATGCATGAATGACAACCGAATTCTGCACACGGGCTGCTTAAATACACACACACGGCATCAATCTTTTTGACCAGGAGCCTCCTGCCTCTTCCACAAAGCACCTGGCCTGCTGGCTGTGTTTACCTGGATACTAGGGGAGCCGGATTTCTTCTTTTTAAATGAAGAAATGAAGCCCAACATTTTCTCTTTTTCAAATAAATAAATAAATACATTTCCACTCTGCCTTATTCAGTGGCACTTCCATTACCTCCTCCTTGTTGCTAGGCGGATGAATCCCTCTACAGGAACATGGGTGTATCCAAGATGTACTGACAGCTCTAAGAGCTCCTGAGTAAAATGTTATCAAACACTGTGGCCAAGGTTCTGATGTCCATCTGCTATGGGAGGTGAACTGCTAATGGTGCATAAATATAACCTTTTTTCTAGGGTCACTTTTCCTCTTTACTGACAGTCTTGAGCAGTGGAAAGGGAAGAACGAGTACAGCATGACGTGTTAAAAATGTCCAGAAAACATCAAAAGATCCCCCAAATTCCCCATTTTTGTTCAAAAATATCTTTGAGTGAATCTACTCAACCACTCGTTGACCCTTCATTATCTCACATGAAAGTCCACTGGACTCAAGTGTCTGGTAAACATCAAAGTGTAGCTGCTGCAATGTGCCCTTTAAATCAGTGGCACCCCATTCTTTTGGACTCATAAATTTATTTTGTATGGGACAACATTTTAACAAACAAGTGTTGGGTGATTGGTGGTGCTGTTGGGGGGGGGGGGTAGTTATAAAGCATAACAAAATGCAATAAAATGCACAAACAACATTAAAGCTGCAATGCAAAAGCTGCAAAACAAGCTAAGTTTTAAGCACAAACATGGTCACCGAACTGTCACCCCTGTCAGTCATCATCTCTAAACCACGTCCACCTAAGGTGGGAACATGCATTGCCAGAGGGTATGAGAGCATGCTAAACACCAGTCGGTGTTTTTAACATCCAAAAGTGTTTTGTGTTCCGTGACTTCAAATGGTGTTTTTCTTTTTGGGGATTGGTAGTTTGTCCTAAAGCTGAAGTGGTAGCAGCTGGCTGCTCCTCCTTTTCACAAACTCCCTCAGCTTTTTCTCAAACCTCTCACACCAGGGAAGTGCGGAAATGCAGTGGCGGCCGGGTGAGATAAACAAAGCACTAGCTTTAAAATATGCAGCTGTTTCTTTCCATTGGTATCACTAACCTGTCCCTTGTGTCCCACTTTGACTAGGACACAGACTGGGTTGAAGGCTCCTGTTCCACAGACCAGCAGATGGGTCTGGTTGTACCGCTGCAACACCTTAATGTAGTTTGCACACTCAAGCTGTTGGGAAGAGATGCAAACATAAAAAAGCAATGTGTTTAGTGATGTGAATGTTTAACCCAAGATAAAAACACACACACAAAAACATCCCACATATTTTAGTTTTTCTGGGTGTGATTTGAGTTAATTAAGTTTTTTTCTTGGTTTAATTCGGTGCTTGCTTCGAAAGTAAACCACAAAATCAATGGGCAAAGACCTCATAGTGAGCACTGCGATAATGAAGAAAAGCCAGGGTTTACTGAATCATCAATAACATCAATATTTAAGATTAAGCAGGTCAATGAGCACAATGAAATAAGTTAATCAGTTCAAACATGCTGCCGATGCATATCCCTTTAACAGATTGGTCTACAGTAAATTTGAATCAAGAACAAGTTTTAGTATTGATATTGATATTTAGTTATTTTTACAGGATTTTACCAAATGTCATCTGAAATCATATATGTTCAGTTAAATTCTGCTAAGCAGCACTCACCTTTTCCCTCCCCTTCATCATACACTCCTCTATCTGAGATTCTGTGCTGGCCCAGGTAATCTGACGGAAAACGCAAAGATTTCCACTTTTACTCAACTGAATGTAAAATGGAACATTGTTAAAAATTAATTATTCTACCCAAACAGAGAGTCCTTTGTTTCCAGCATGTGATTTTGTTGGCTGCATTTGTTCCAAAAGAATTTAAATGCAAAATCCAACCAGCAGAATTTGGATGAAGGCAGGCCCACCTGTCTATAGTGTGTGTTAACCCTGTCCAGGCTGAGGGAGAACAGAGCATTCTTGGCTCCAACAAAAAGTCTCTGGTGGCTCTCGTCCAGCAGCATGGTCTGAGGCTGAAGAGGCACTCCGCGTCCCTGGAACACCCAGGTCCGGTTCATCTGCCAAAGCTCTGTATAGACGTGGCACAGGAAAAGAAAAGATAAAAAGGATTGTGATTGGATGGATGGATGGATGGATGGATGGATGGATGGATGGATGGATGGATGGATGGATTGGTGGATGGATGGATGGATGGATGGATGGATGGATGGACTCATTGTTACATGTGGTTTTCATTCAATGTAAACCCACAAGATAGAAATAATGTATCAAATTTAGACCCACTCAAACTCTTTTCATGTCACTTTTTCATGACTGAACGCTGAAACACACTGAGCTCAAAGGATGATTACAAGCACTTGCCATAAAAAAGGTCGGCAATGACAGGATTGGTTGATGTTGGAGCATTTGATTTACATAGTCGCCTGTCTGTGGTCCTTTGAACTGGCAGGAAGCTGTTTTATCAGACAGGAAACTGAACCAGTCTCTCTTCTGCACTCATTAGTGTAAATCCACACCCCACTCCCACTTTTAAAATGAAACCAGTTGATCATCAAATAAATATTTATAAAATATATATGTTCATAAGAAAATCCTTCACATCCTAAGTTAGAAAAGCTGGTCATCCATACAGGCACGATTTCTATGTGCTTACTAGGAGATTGAAAGGTGGTCTTAAACCCCCAGAGGTGTGCCCTTCCTCTGGTTTGCACTAGCCTTAAAGACTTCCATTAACACATGATGGGGTTGGACTTGGTGCCCTAGTAAAAGGAAAAAAAAAAGAAAAAAGGGGATCTGGTGTGTGTTAGGAGACCTTCAGTCAAATTTAATTGCTTCAGCTTGTGTTAAATATTCCCAAAAATACAATTTTAAATTAAAAAAGAGCCATCAGCTATCCTCAAAACTCTCCTAATGACTATTTTAACATTTCGAATAGCCAACTTAATGATTATGTTGGTGTCTTGACGTGTTGGAGCAGCAGGGGGTAATTGCACCATTTGTTTGTCCAGTGCTTGTATATATTTTCAGTGATACGTGATCTCTGAGATAGAAAGAGAGAATGTTTATCATATGTCTTTAGATCGTGCACAGCAACCGCACTGCACCCCCTGGATTCGTTTATTTGTTTAAAATGGGATTAGGTATCCACATGGGAATAGGTGACTGTTGCTAATAAGATTTTTATGTTGGAGACAAGCAACTGTTTGTTTGAGTTGCATTAGGTCCATGGTGGTTGGGAGGCAGAGAGACAGAGGGGATGTGGCAATCATGTTCTGCAGGGCTCAGACACGCTTCCTGTAATTATCGAGTCCACACACACACACACACACACGCACACGCACACACACACACATACACACACACACACACACACACACACACACACACACACACACACACACACACACACACACACACACACACACACACACACCTCTATCCACCAGTAAACTCTGAATTGAACTGAATTCGTATCAAGGGCAGCTCCTTTAAGCTTGGCTCTCAGACAATCGGCTCATTCTCCATGCAAAGTTGTTTCCACTAATTCAGATGATGGACTTAAATGACCATTTAAAGAGATGAATTAAACAGTCCACAAGTCAAGTCTGGTTTTCCATCTGTTCATTTTAGTGGCAGCTGCTCATGCATGAATGCATGTACATGGCGAAAGAATCAGAGGAGCTCCTCAAAGAGAGCACAATAATGATTTAGGTACTGTACCAAAAAAAAAAAGTAAAAGTACAGTCAGGGTAACAAAAAATGTGCTGATTATAGTAATCGTAGGTAATCAAAGTTGCTAAAATGCAATTGGTAGATTTCCTGGTTGCACAGACAGATGGCTTGGAGCTCTAATTTAAAAGTCTCTCCTCTGTCATTAGACGCGGCAGCCCCTGATCATGTTGAATGAGGAATAGAGGGAATTTCCAAATTTCCCCTTATTCCTACAAGTCTCTTTCCTCTCACCCTCACCATCTGCAGTCTCTAAGAGCTCCTTAGCCATCAGATGAGAAGCTGGTGGAAGGAGGCGGGCATTTTTCCCCCTTCAGCAACTCAGACACATGGCCCGACTGTGATCCCAGTCCAAAAGAAAATCACAGAGAAAAAAGGGACTCCCTCAAGACAGACACATTTTATCATCTGTCTACGGAGCACTGAGAGATGTTGGAGTAGATTTGGTGAAATGAAATTAAAATAAACATTGCAATCTCCTTCTTACTCATGCACCAGGGCCTGTAACGTGACTGATTTGCTTTGTGCAGAATATTGGTACTTAAGCAGCATTTGAAGACGGAATAAAAAATGGCAAACACACAATGGGAATCCCATTCACTCGTTCGTTCTGTCAGTCATTCTCCAAAACTGGAGGCTCATCCTGTTCTGGCTGTTCCATATGAGGATATCCATGGAGATGTGGAGAGAAACAAACAAACAACGGAACGGAATTTCAAATTTCACATCTTGCTAGTGAAGGTGCCTGCACATTGAATTGTTGCCCTTATCCATGACAAAACAACAAAACATGCGTTAGAAATCTTTTTAATAGGGATTTCATGATCCGATCACGTGATCGGAAATCTTTCTTGATCACGTGGTTTCAGACTCGATCGGGATCGAGCATTACTTTCCAATCTGGACTCGGATACGGGGTACAGGAGAGCTAAGTAGAACCCAGTTCTTCTGAAAGGTCTTTGGACTCCGCTGAAGCCCTCAACCCAGAGGGAAATCAAATCTTTTAGAAACTCGTTATTTTTAATGTTTCTTTAAAGTCATTGTAGCTTAGGGTGACCATATTTCTATTTCCAAAAAGAGGACAGGAGATCTGTGCCTACTTTTGACGTCACATTATGGCAATGCCACACAAACCACACTGAGACCCATTTGTTCCCCCAGGGGTTAGAGCTAAAACTGATGTCAGATTCTGCCAACAAATGGCTCTAAAACAATTCATATGAAATTTTATTTTCATATTTATGGCTAAATCACATTTTTCTGCAGCTTTGGTGCTGCAACAATGTTATATTAATAAGAAATGGTTATACCTTTAGTTTTACTGTAGCATCATTAAAACTTCCTGTGCAGATTAGAATGCATTGTTTCAGCTGTGAGATTAGAAGATCAGATCGATGAAAGAAAAGTCTGTCACGGACTCCATGGAAACTTTCAGAGAATCCACCGATGGTGGCTCTCAACAATTGTTTTGTTGCTGACAAATTTTTGTGAGATTAGGAAAGAAGCAGACCAGGCAGCATGTCCGGAAATGTCATTGTTTGTCAGAAAATATTAGAACATGTCAGTAATGTCTGAGGTGTTTTTACAAACACTGTGTAATTAATACTCCAGGACAGGGTATGAATTACACAGAGTCTTCTGGGGGAGCCCGGCGACAGGGGGTGGGGGTGTTCTATTTCACCTTATGCCCCAAAAGGCCTTGAAACGGCTCTGGGTGTGTGACTGAATTTTGAAGGTGATCTGAATTGTTTCAAATATATAAAATTACATGCGTATAACTTATTGCTTTATACAGGTAGAAACAGTGGCGATAAATCTACCTACATGTTACTTTTCAAACACTCTGCTTTGTTTTTCTTGTTTGTTTGTTCTTTTTACTATTTTCCTGTCTTGTCTCTGGTCTTCCTGCACCTCCTCTAAATTCTGCAGAAAAACTGCTGCCTGGTTTCCTGCTTTTTCACCAGCTACTTTTGAACTAAGCAGATCAAAGGGATCTCCTGACCGCAAAGTGGAGTGTGCGTTTCAAGGCTGCATCAGTGAGGTGAAATCAACATAGCACAGGTGATGAGCTCTGCAGTCACGGGACGCATCAGGCAGGGTTAAAAGCCAGAGCATACCGGAGGATATAAACGGACATGAATGATTGAGCGTTAATTTTGATTTCTTTGAGACTGCACCAGATGCAGCTGACTGGAGCGCATCAGCAATCGGCTTCCTTGTACGTAAAATCAGTACGTAGAAGTCAGCTGGATGAGAAAGCAGCTTCAGAGAGCAAGGTTTGGAGGCTTGTTTCCTGGTATTCTGACATCTCGCCTCTGATTGGCTAACAGCAATGCAACTTGCGTTTGAATGTGTGTGTGAATGACTGATTTTTTTATAAAGCACCTTGGGGGGTTGTAGAACCCTATGAAGGTGCTATACAAAAACAGAGCACTTACCATTTTACCATTTAACTCTACCACTTACTCTGTTTGCTTTGCAATGTTGATGTTTTATCTCCACAAAGAATACATGCCTGAAGGAGCTCTGATGTGTGGTGAAGTTGCTAATGCTAACACTTAGCTTCTACTAGGCGAGATGTTCTCAGCTGTTTCCTGGATGCTAAACCAGCAATATCCTTCTTTGCCACAAATCAAAATGGAGAAGTCCATGAAAGCTAAAGTACCTTTCCGGAGTATTTCTTCTATCCGATGGCACCATCTAGTGGCTGACAAGCATATCACACAAAAAGTCTTTCAATCATTTTATTACGATGGCAACTTCACAATTCTAGTTTATAAATGTACGTCTGTAGCTGACAAACAGAGCTAAAACGCGTTGTTTTACAAGTATTATTTTCATGTCATGTTGTGTTCTCATATATTTATATTTTTAAGATGTACTTGTCCATGAAAAGTTCATCAACTCTGCATCAGCCGAGGCACGTCCTTAAATCTGAAGCATGTAAGTTGTCGTCTAACGCCACTGGTTAGTTCTGGTCGGCGCTCAGTTTCCTATTGCATGGAGCTCTGCAGGGCAGGGGCAGCTTAGCACAAAATAATAAAAAATAAATGTTAAAAAAAGTATCGCTTACATTATATCGCAGTACATGATAAGATTATCCCTTTTACAGATTTCTGAAAAATCATCCATCTTTTCTGAAAGGAGGAAACTCAGGAAAGCTACTTTTAGTAACAGTGTGACGTAGATCTGTCCGGCTTTTCTGTCAGAAGCTAATGCAGGAAATAGGGGTAGAAGACTAGTTTCATGCTCAGCCTGCATGTCAAACCCAGTGACTGATTGTTTTAAAAAATAATAAGTTATAAACGGTTTCTCTTTGAACCTAAAAGTTCTGCAGTT